CACGTTTGGGACCTACTGCTGTCTAAAGACCATCCACAGTCTGCCTGATCATCTCTTTACTCCCTCATTTAGTACACTAGCATTTATCACACACCTTCTTTGCTAGGTCCTGAGGATACCCACGTGTTATTTACCCTGTTTTTCCTTACATTGACTCTTTTGTACCTAAAGACATTTATTTTATTTATTTTTTTAAAAGATTTATTTATTTGAGAGAAAGAGAGAAGCAGAGGGAGAGGGAGAGAGAATCCCAAGTAACTCCATGCAGAGTGTGGAGCCCGACGTGGGGCTCAATCTCACAACACCGAGATCACAACCTGAGCTGAAACCAAGTGTTGGATGTTTAACCGACTGTGCCACCCAGGCGCCTCAAGACATTTATTTTAAAAAGACATTTTATATGATCAATTGGATGGGCCAGATATATTTTAAGTAACACACATAAAAATAAGTATATCAGGAGCATCTGGGTGGTGCAGTCGGTTAAGCATCCGACTCCTGGTTTCAGCTCAGGTCATGATGTCAGGGTGGTGGGATCAAGCCCTGGGTCGGGCTCTGCACTCAGTGCAGAGTCTGGTTGAGATTCTCTCTCCCTCTCCCTCTGTCCCTCCCACTCATAATCTCTCTCTAAAATAAATAAATCTTAAAAAATGAGTATATCATTTTTAAACAAGTTAATATTATCTAAAAAGAAACTTATGTATTGTTAGTGATATTCACACCACCTTTTAGGAGATCATGAATTCATTTATTCATTATTCAGACATTCACTCATTCTTTTTTTAAAAATTTTTTTATTGTTATGTTAATCACCATATATTACATCATTAGTTTTTGGTGCAGTGTTCCATGATTCATTGTTTGTTCATAACACCCAGTGCTCCATGTAGAACGTGCCCTCCTCAATACCCATCACCAGGCTAACCCATCCCCCTACCCCCCTCCCCTCTGGAACCCTCAGTTTGTTTTTCAGAGTCCATCATCTCTCATGGTTCGTCTCCCCCTCTGACATACTTCCCTTTTCTTCCTCTCCTGTTATCTTCTTCTTTTTCTTTTTTCTTAAAATATGTTGCGTTATTTGTTTCAGAAGTACAGATCTGTGATTCAACAGTCTTGCACAATTCACAGTGCTCACCGTAGCACACACCCTCCCCAATGTCTATCACGCAGCCACCCCATCCCTCCCACCCCCCACCACTCCAGCAACTCTCAGTTTGTTTCCTGAGATTAAGAATTCCTCATATCAGTGAGGTCATGTGATACATGTCTTTCTCTGATTGACTTATTTCACTCAGCATAACACCCTCCAGTTCCATCCACGTCGTTGCAAATGACAAGATCTCATTCCTTTTGATGGCTGCATAATATTCCATTGTGTATACATACCACCTCTTCTTTATCCATTCATCTGTCGATGGGCATCTTGGCTTTTTCCACCGTTTGGCTATTGTGGACATTGCTGCTATAAACATTGGGGTACACGTACCCCTTCGGGTCCCTACATTTGTATCTTTGTGGTAAATACCCAGTAGTGCAATTGCTGGATCGAACGGTAGCTCTAATTTCAACTGTTTGAGGAACCTCCATACTGTTTTCCAGAGTGGTTGCACCAGCTTGCATTCCCACCAACAGTGTAGGAGGGTTCCCCTTTCTCCACATCCCCGCCAACATCTGTCGTTCCCTGACTTGTTAATTTTAGCCATTCTGACGGGTGTGAGGTGGTATCTCATTGAGGTTTTGATTTGGATTTCCCTGATGCCGAGCGATGTTGAGCACTTTTTCATGTGCCTGTTGGCCATTTGGATGTCTTCTTTGGAGAAACAGACATTCACTCATTCTTTTATTCATCTGTCCCACATTTCCTGAGCTCCTCTGATGGACCCTTTGCGATACTGGGCATCCTTCCTGCCCTCTTGCTTGACTATGCCTGGTGTCCACCTGCCACCCAGGAGCCTCCATGCTCCCAGGAACGAAGCCATTCTCAACGTCTTCAGGCCTCAGGACTTTGTGCTTCTTCCACAGATGCCCACTCTTCCCTTAGCCAAGACAGGCAGTCCTGGAGGTGTGTGTGGAGTGGGGCTAGCTACACCCCTGGGTGGGATCCCAGTGGGCAGGGCAGACTATCACCACCAGGGGGCACTCCTGCACCACTGCTGGCTTCTTGCCAGGGCAGGCTCAGGGCAAGGTGGGTCCGACAGGAAGGTGAGGATGCTTGGGGAGCTGCTGTGGGGGACCAGGCCAGGCTTGGGAAGAGCCTCATCAGAGAAGGAACATGAAAATGGACCCGCTGCACTCGGATTCTGAGAAAACCTCCCCTCAGTACGCAGCATATCTACCAGGCTCAGCAGAACATGACCAACTGGTGACAGCAGGCATTAGTGAAATGATTCTGCCATTTGGTGAAGGGCAAGGTCGCCCCACATGCAGATCCAAGTGCACCATGAGCACCAGGCAGCATGCCTGTGTTCCTCAGTCTTTTGCTGATTATTTTCAGGGAGAGGAGAGGAGCAGAAAACAGGATGGAAGGCCATTGCGGACCTCACCTGGGGGCGGGGGCCACCCTCGTCCCCAACTTCAGTCAGGAGCACTGGTCCTGTGGACTGGACCCTCTGAAACAGTTCTTCCCCAGTCCCCTGGGCCACAGTTTTCCCTTCTATAGAATGGGACCGAAATCATTTCCGACCCGTCTGCCTCTCTTGAGTGCATTGAGGAGAAAGCCTCCGCAAACAGCAGAGAGCAGGTTGAAACAAAAACAAGAGAAGCTAAAATGGAACTTGGCTCCCCCCTCCTGCCCCTCCCTGTTATGGAATTTGTGCAAATCTGTCATCTGTGTGAGTGAGTCTGTGCTTCACCAAGCCTTGCTGGAGCTGGTAATTAGGTGCGGTGGTGGCTCCTGCCTTGCCCTCTGATGACTTTTCTCTAATTGCTCTAATCTCTGTTTTCATGTGCTCACTGGAAAATGAGAAGAGCCTCCAGCGGCTCCCCAAGGAGGGGAAGTGAGGGGTGCGCCCTCGGCAAGGGGAGGAGAAGGCTGCCGCCCTGCCCCTCGGTGCGTAGCCCTGTGCTGCGGGCTGTGGGGACAATGGCAGACACGGTTCCCTGTTCCTGGGTTCTTAGAGTTCCAGGGCTAGGAGGGACGTTAATGGGGGAAGTATGGGAGGGTGACAAGTTTCCTGGGTGGCCCGGAGTGCTGGGAAGGGGAATGGGGGGGGCGGAGAAGAGGACCTGATTGGGCTTGGCTCCTGGGAAGACTTGGGGGCTCCTGTGGACGAGGGGAGCTGAGAGCCTCGGGGGGAGGGGGGAGTGCCGGGGGGGGGGGAGGAGGGGGGGGCTCTGGGTGGGGGCAGAGAGACCCTGGTGGTGGGGAAGGACCTGGTGTGAGTGTCCTCTGTGCAGCTCCCTTGTTTCTGGGAGCACAGGGCTATAGCTTTCTCCAAGACAGGACGATTCCATGTGGCTTTGCTGGATTTGTCATACCTTTGGGAGGACAGTTCAGTGTGTGTCCGTGTTTAGTATGTTGCCTCCGACTGTGTGTCTGTGCATGTGCTGGGGGGGGAAGGGAGGGAGAGAGGGAGGGTGGTTGTGTGTACCACAGGTAACTGCGGGCTCTGATGAATTCAGCTTCCAGCCCTGAAGAGTCTCCTTGCGGAGCCTCTGGGAACCCCACCCTGGGACAGAGGTGGCTGGTGCAGCTGGGGGCGGGGCGGGCTAGCCTACATAGCCGCTTAAGCCCTGACTGCTGGGATAAAGCGATTATTGGTGTGTGGTGCGTGCGTGTGTGTGTGTGTGTGTGTGTGTGTGTGTAGGTGGGTGAGACTGAGCTCACAGCCTTTAGCGGCTGTAGGTTTCTCAACTGCCCTGAGAAGATCCAAAAATTTGCCTGTGGCTTTTCCCTCCCTTTCCCTGCTCAGATTCACTCCCCGCTGCTGACCTGGATACGTGCATTTACTCCCATTTACTCCAAGATGCTATGCTCCTAAATTGCTTCTCCTCCTAGGGCCTCTCCAGCTCTAATGGTGGGATTTCAGTCAGTGTTGGAGGGGAGATAGTTTGGGATGTAGGGAGCTCCCCGGCATTGCCTTCCTGGCGCTGCCATGGACAAATTGAGATTTCTGACCTTGTGTTTGACAACTGATTCACCTGTAATCACACTTATTTTTCCTTGCATAAACTGAAGCAAGAGGAAAAGCGTTGGGTTGCACCTCCTGTGCCAGGAGGCTCTTCATAGGGTTAATTCTAATAAGAGCAGTCAGTGTGAAGTCAGGGGATGAAATGTTCCAGAACTGGTGAGTAAATTCAGTTTCCTGTAACACACATGCCTAAAGAAAGAAAGTTCTCAGCACGAACATGACGACTGTGGCTGACAATCAACAGCCCCTCCTGTGTGCGTACCAGGCACCACTGCAAGTTCTTCCCAGGTCAGCCTCTGGAATCCTCACCCGATGGTGCCCATTTTACAGATGAAGAAACTAAGGCACAAGGAGGGCCACAGTTCATGGAGCAGGGATTTGAACCCTGGCTGTCTGGTGCCCTTGCTGAGTCCCCAGCCACTGTGCCATGCATTGTAGGACAGCAGTGTAGGGTGGTCAGAGCATGGCTGAACGGTGCCCCTTCTTTTTTTTTTAAAGATTTTATTTATTTATCTGAAAGAGAGAGAGAGAGCACAAGAAGGGGGAGCAGTAGAGGAAGAAGCAGGCTCCCCACTGAGCAGGGAGTTGGACGCAGGGCTCGATCCCAGGACCCTGGGATCATGATCCGAGCGGAAGGCAGATGCATGACCGATGGAGCCACCCAGGCGCCCCAACAGTGCCCTTCTTGCAGGAGAACCACAAACCTTAGTTTCACTAGGGAACATCTTGCCAACTACCCCATTTCATGTGGCAAAGACGGAGGAGAACAAGCTCAGAGGAGAGTTTTACTGTACCTGGCTGGTGTTCTGTTAGTTTGTTTGCTCTTTGTGATTTGTAAATATTCTGGCTTCTGCTTTATCTCTACAACAGGCTTGCTGTCCAGGTCAGCGCTCCACCGGCTCGACAGCACTTGTGTGATGAGCTCTAGCTGCAGTGATCCGCACAGAGTGCCCCGGATGCCGGCTGCAGGGCCTGCTCCAGGTCAGGCCAAGGCTGATCCACAGTGTCTGGGAGCTGGGATTTGACCACTGGTCTTTGGGGCATCATGGCTATCTGAGAGGGGTGCAGGGTGTCTGGGGGTGTGAGAGGTTGGGTTGCACAAAAATTGCAACCTCAGGAGGCTTTTGTGTATCAGGTCAGGATTGCTTCCCACTGCGGATAACAGAGACTGGAAGTAATGGTGGCTTGAACCAGATTGAAGCTTATTTCTCTTTCACACAAAGGATGTCAGGAGGTAGGAGAGTCCAGGGCTGGTGGTGGGGGGCGGGGCTCAACAGGGTCATCAGGGACCCAGGCTCCTTTTTTCTCTTAATCCCACCAACTTTAGCATGTGGCTTCCATCCTCAAAGTTACCTCATGTTCCAATGTGGCTGCTGGATCTCCATCATCACATCTGCTTCCTGGGGTGGTGGGTGTAGACCGGCTGAGTGTTTCCCTCTGTCCCAACCTAACAATTTATGCTTGCCCTCATTTGCCTTGCCTCACTGCAGGGGAGGCTGGGAAATGGATTCTTTCAGCTGGGCACATTGCCATATGAGTTTTTTACTAAGGAAAATGGAAGACAGGACATAATAAGGGTACTCTGCAGTCTCTGTCCCAGAGTACTGTAGCATCCTATGCACCCTGAAGTGAAGGCTGTTGCTTTTGCAGGTGCTGGGACTGTTTCGGACCAAACAGCTGGAGAGGGTTAGGGGAAGGAGCCCTAGCAGCAAGTGCCAGCACCCAGGCCCTGCAAGGGCTTGCTAGTTTGGGGTTTTATCTCCCCTTAGTGTCCTGTAGTAGTTCCAACCTTGCGGGAGGGGCTCTGTTGGACAACCACGGTGGGGTTGCGGGGCGGGGAGAGGAGAAGGCTGCCAAGTAGGGGACTCTGTGCCTTGTAGGTATGTTCTGGAAGGAACCGTGATGACAGTGGTGATGGTATAGCTTGGCACTGGGTTGGAGGTCTGGGTGGTCCACCCAGGAGGGCAGGATAGGGGTAGCTTGGAGTCTTGAGGATGTGGGTGGCCAGCAGACGGTAGCCTGTCTAGGAAGACCTCTTGACGCTCCGGTAGGGCCAGCCCCAGGTGGCCTAAAGTTCCACCGAAAAAGTTTATGTACACACCCCCCTCATTCTGCCAGGCCCTGAGAGGGGGTCACAAGGGTTGTGACAATCCAAGGGAACATTTCATTGCCAAAGGCATCTTTGCCTCCATGTCAAACTGATCCTCTCCACAGACTGGTGAGGTTGGGGGAGATTCTTTCATTTTTACAGATAGGGAAACTGAGGCTGAGAGTGGGTAAAAGATGGGCTCAAAGTCACACTGTGGCAGAGCTGGGTTGGGCCCTGGGTCCTTTGAGTCCCAAAGGGGAGGGGGGATGGTCTGAGTAAATGTTCTGAATGTAGTGTCTTTTCATTTCTTTTTTACTTTAACTTAAAAAAAAAATTGAGGTATAATTTACACACAGGAAAGGAAAGTGTAGATTTTAAGTGTACAGTTCAATGAATTTTACCTGTTTGTCAAACATTCCCAGCACCCCAGAAGGCTCCTTATGTCCCTTCCTAGTCACCAGCCTCTCCTCTCCTAAAGGGCAACCACGATCCTGACCTCTATCACTAGAGATTGGTTTTGCCTGTTCTTACACTTCATACAAACAGAGCCATGCAGTGTGTTCTTTTTCTTTTGGCTTCTTGGACTTAGCATAATGCCTGTAAGAGTCATCTGGGTTGTGGCATGTATGTCTGTAGTTGAGTCTTTTTTATTGCTGAGTAGTATTCCACTGTGGGCTATGCCACCATTTGTCTAATCATTTGTCTGTTGATGGACATTTGGGTTGTTTCCTGTTTGGAGCTGTAATGAGTAAAGCTGCAGTGAGCATTCATGTTCACATCTTTGTGTAGACATATGCTTTCACTTCTTTGGGGCAAATACCTAGTTGTGGAATGGCTGGGTCAGAGAATAGATATATGTTTAACTTTGTAAGAAACTGTCGAACAGGTTGAACCATTACCACTCCCATGTGTATCCTTCCTATATTTGATATTTTCAGTCTTCTCAATTGTGGCCATTCCTGTGGGTGTGAATGAGAACTTGTTGTGGTTTTAATCTGCATATCTCTGATGGTTGATAATGTTGACTGTCTTTTCATGTGCATATTGGTTATTTTGATATTTTCTTTCATGAAACGCCAGTTTGTATCTTTTGCCTGTTTAAAAAAAAAGTGGGGTTCTTTCCTTATTAATTTGCGGTTCTTTATATATGCTGGTAGTAGTCCTTTGTCAGATACATGTATTGAGATATCGTCTCTGCATCTGTGAATTGGCTTTTCTTCCTTTTAATGGTGTCTTTTGATGAATATAACTCTTAATTGTAATGAAGCACAGTGTATCATTTTTCTTTTATGTTGTTTTGTGTTGCATTTAAGAAAGCTTTGCCTCCCCAAGTGGAGTCATTTTAACACATTACTCCACGTGGCCTCATGCCATCTGTCTGCTCTCTCTGCTGCCTCATCTCCTATTAGAAGCGCCTCTCAGAAGCAGGGGGTGAGGAAAGCAGAGATGGGATGAAAGATCTCTGATAAAATGCGGGGTTAAAAGCCTGGATTACTCGCCTCCCCAGGACATGAGATTTGTGTCCCTCACCCCCTTCCTTCCCCTGTCCGGATTTGGGTTTAGGCTGTGCTGCAAGATTAAAACCAAAGAGATTAAAAGATTACCTCTGGCAGGGAAGGCAAATTCTTCCTCTTTGCTCCCTGAGTCAGTGGGGAAGGTCGGAGAGGAGGTAGGGTGCTAGTGACAGAACCACTCCACCTCTAGGGAGTGGTTTCTTCTTCCTCCTCCTCTGGGGAGGCCTGGCTCGGGCCACCCCCACCAGGTGTGGCCTTGGGCACACACGCACCTCTCTGGGTCTCAGTTCCCAAGTTGAAGAGCAGGTGTGGGAGCTGAGCTGGATAGGGAGCACCAACGTGAGCTTTAGTGGGTTCTCAAAGCCTGGTGATGTGTTAGAAATGCAAACTTCAGGCCCCTCCCAGACCTGCTGAGGAAGAAACTCTGGGGAGTGGGGAGGAGGGGCAGCAACCTGGGTTTTAAAAGCCCTCCAGGGCATTCTGATGCACACACTAAGGCCTGGGTACCGGCACCTTTAATTATGGTAACAATGGCTAATTTTTAGAGCATCTAAATGTGCTCATCAGTGACTCTTCTAAAGAGTATGTACCCACTCATCATGTGATAGAGGTGCTATTACTCACTCCACTTTACCCCAGAGGGAACTGAGACAGAGAGGTGAAGCAGCTTGCCCAGGGTCACACAGCTACTAAGCGGCTGAGCCTGGATTTAGACTTGGGGAGCCTGGCTCCAGGCACTGAGCTGCCAACCACTGTTCATATGGTTTTGAATTCCCAGCGCTATGCATCCTGGACCTGCACCGAAGTCCACAGTCTTTATCAGCTGCTCCAAGGAGTGGTTGCTCCAAAGGGCTGACTGCCCTGGGGATCCCTGGCTCTCAAGGTTCTTTCCCTGCCTCTCCCCAGGGTCCGCTGAGTCTGCTTTGACCCCGCAGGGCAGCTTCCCACTTCCTCTTCCTGCTTCCTGGGGAGCTGGCGGCTGGGAAACCCCTGGGCTGAGGTTGGGGGAAGCGGATGTTGTGAGCTGACCCCAGCTGCACTGTCAACCAGACCCAGAGACAGAGGCCTACAGCACGCTGGGTGAAACTCGCTCATGTCTTGGGTCATTTCCTCGTTCAGTATTTAGTGATCCCAACCAGAGAGAAGTCAGAGCCTGCAGAAAGCCAGAGGCAGATAGAAGGGGCCGAGGGGAAGAGGAAACCTGTCCATTCATTTTATGATTCTTCCTACAAGTCCCCTCCTGCACTAGGGATGGTCGAAAATACCAACCCTGATGCTGGAAAGTGATCAAGGAACAGCCAAGGCCCAGATGCAGAGGCTGATTTATGGGGGCTGTGCTGGGGAGCTGGAGTGAGTGTGCCGGGTGGGAGAGGGCAATCCATCACTGCTTCCTAGGGGAGCAGAAAGTCCCCCCGCCTGCCTGGCCCCTACGGGGGGGTGAGCCTGCCTTGCCCTCCACCATGTCACCAAGGCCCCTGCTCTCAGGGGGAGGTGGCATTGCCTAGGAGCTTGGGGGGCCCTAGCACTCCCCCCACTTTTCTGCCCCAGTTTTCTTGGGTCTAGAGCCCCTTCGAACCTTTGGGTGGGGGCAAGGGCAGTTGGGGGGGGAGGAAGGACCCCCCCCAGATAGAACGCTGGTCAAGTCCCTTCTCTGTGACTCAGCTTTCTCCTCTGTAAATGAGGGCCTCAGCCCAGCCGGGCCAGCCGCACAGGGGGGTCGTGGCGGTGAAGGGGTATGGCCGGGAGCTGCCAAGCTCTGTCCCACCTGAGACAAGCGGGAGGTCGGAGCGAGGAACTTGCCTCCGACGGCTGTGCTCCCAGGCGTGTGCTGGGCTCTGCGTGGGGAGATGTGTGTCGGGCACACAGGGGCGGCTGCAGCCCAGGGCCCGTGCAGGCAGGCGTGTCCACCTGTGCAGCTACATGATGGATCCAAAGCTGCGGGTACATGCGTGGTGCATGCGTGTGTGTGCACACGTGCATGTGCAGGCATGCGCGTGTGCAACCACACCGACGGCCCGAGCTGCCTGTGATCCCTTTACTCCTGCCAGCTGGGGAGGACCCCTCTGGGGTGGTGGTGGGGGCGTGGCTGGGTGCTTATGCCCAGGCCCCATCCAGCTGGTTATTTATTGATTAATTCTGCTGCCAGCTGATGGATGCCAAGCCGGTGCCAGGCGCAGGCCCTGGGCTGATTTACATAATTAAAAACCATCAGTAACAGAGCCAGGCCTCACCCGCCAACTGCTTCCTCTGGCATGACAACAAGCTGAGCCTCCCTCCTCCACCCCCACCCTTGCCTCTGCACCCCAGGTCTTCCTCGCCTCCCTGACCCCCTCCCTCTCCCGGCCCGCCCCGGGTCAGCCTACCGGCCTGGGCCACTCCATATCAGCCCCTGCCCAGTCTGGGATGGAGAGGTTGTAGTGTTCTGGGATTCTCGAGTCACTGACTCCAAGATTCTATTAGTCCATGGTTGTAAGGTTCTTTGATGGAGAGTCTCAGATTATAAGATTCAACTGTGATCCTCCAAGTATGTGATTTTTTAAGAGTCTATTACTCTATGTGACAAAGGGGAAAAATGTTTGCTCTCAGCAGTCCTGCCTGCTCTCGAGGAGGTGGGGCTGCTCTCGGGAGAGCCTGGCTTTTCGCAGAGGCCACCATGGTGGGTGAGGTATGTCCATCACTGCTTTACAGAAGGAAGGAGCCATTTGTCACAGCCGAAGGCTCGGGGCAGGGGCGGGTGCTGGGGAGTCTGGGCAGAAGGAAGGAGGACCCAAGGACGCCTCGGGGAGGGGCAGGGAGATATCCCTGGTGGAGGCCTCCCCTCTAAGAGGGACTTCAGAAAATTCTGGATTCTGCGGAGCACGTGATGTCAACCCCCTTGCTGGTATTGCTTCCAGTGTCTTCAGAAAAGGCTCTCGCATCTAGAGAGGCAGTTTGGGGTGACCAACATGGGCTCCTCCACATCCCAGCTGTGTGATCTTGGGAAGCTACTCAGCCTCTCTGAGCTACAGTTACCTTCTCACCTGTGAAATGGGGCTTGTTGTAAGGATGAAGTGTTAATCTGCGCGGTGTGCTTAGTAGTCAGCCAGCATACGGTGAACCCCTCATGAATGGTGGCTGTTATTGTGTGGGAGTCGGTGTTTTGGGGAGACCTTCAGTGGGCTCGTTAGACTTGGTGAAAGCAGAGACTCGCTGGGGTCTCTACACAGGAGGGTTAGGTCTGCTTGTTTCCGTAGGCTGGCTCCCAGTGAGGCAGGTGCTCAGAGGATGTTTGTGGAATGAATGATTTTCTCTTTTCTTAGCCCTTCCCGAACATGGCACTGGCCTCAACCAGCCCTCAGCCGCTTCCCCTCCAGCTGCCCTTCCTCCAAAGCTGTTTGGGGAAGACACAGCTGACTGACCCCACACCCAACACCGCGGCCTGAAGGTGCACCCACAGACCTTATCCCACAGTGCCCCACATCTTAGTCTGAGCATGACAGGACCTCAGCATCTCAGTTTTCTGATCCAGAACTGCAGAACTGAAGACCCACAGAGCAGTCTTGCACCCACCCATGACATCTTGGGCTACATCATGGCACAGGTGAACCACCAGTCTTAGGTAATTAAGAAACGATTTGTCATAATTAAAAAAAATCTAAATAAAATATGTTTAAAATTAATGGTAGAATGTAGGATGGTACAGCCGTTGTGGAAAACAGTTTGGCAGTTCCTCCAGAAGAGAAATATTGAAGGGGACCTGCGTGGCTCAATCTATGAAGCATCTGACTCTTGGTTTCCGCTCAGGTTGGGATCTCACTCACTGGTCTTGGGATCGAGCCCCGCCTGGGGCTCCAACCTGGGCAGGGAGTCTGCTTGAGGATTCTTTCCCTCTGCCCCTCCCTGCTACTCATAGATGGTCTCTAAAATGAATGAATAAATCTTTTTTTAAAAGATTTTATTTATTTATTTGAGAGAGAGAGAATGAGAGATAGAGAGCACGAGAGGGAAGAGGGTCAGAGGGAGAAACAGACTCCCCGCTGAGCAGGGAGCCCGATGTGGGACTCGATCCCGGGACTCCAGGATCATGACCTGAGCCGAAGGCAGTCGCTTAACCAACTGAGCCACCCAGGCGCCCCATGAATGAATAAATCTTAAAAAAAAAAAAAAAAGATTCTCTCTCTCCCTCTTTCTGCCCCTCCCCCTTGTGCTCAAAAGCTCTCTCTCTTAAAAAAAAAAAAAAGTAAGCATAGAATTACCATGGGATCTTAGCAATTCCACTCCTGGGTATAAACTCAAAAGATTTTGAAAGAACTCTGAAAGCGGAGCCTCAAACACACCCCAAAATTCACAGCTGCATTATTCACAAGAGCCCAAAGGTGGAAGGAGCCCAAATGTCCATCAACTGATGAATGGATAAACCAAATACAGAACATATATAAACATATGAAAAGTGTAAAACAAACATATACAATGGCAGATTATTCAACCTTAAAGAAAGGAATAAAGTTCTGATCCATATTACCACACGGATGAACCTTGAAGGCGTAATGCCAAGTGAAAGAAGCCAGACACAAAATGGCAAATTCTGGAGGATTCCATTTTAGGTGAGGCACCTGGAATAGTCAAATCCATAGAGACAGAAAATGGAATGACCGTTAACCGGGGGCTGGGGACAGAGGAATGAGGCGTTAGTGTTAAATGGGCACAGGGGTTCAGTTGGGGAGGGTGAGCAAGTCCTTGAGATGGACGGGGGTGCTGGTCGCATAAGGATATGAATGTGCTTGATGCCACTGAATCATACACTTAAAAATGGTTAAATTTTGTTATGTTTATTTTGCTACAATTAAAAAGTGACTTTCTTGCACTGGAAGAGGTCATTATGTTTGTCATCCCCCGTCTTTTCTATTTTTTATTTTGACTTTCCAGGCCCCCATGTTCCGGGCACATAGTAGGCCCTCCAACATGACTTGCCAAGTGTGTGAAAGAGCCGGGCCTCCCCATCTAGCCCGATGACAAGCTAGCTCATCCAGCAGCTCACGGCTCCCAACCAGGCAGCTGCTTCTCTTGATTTCACCAGAGCAGACAACCCATCGCTCAGCCACAGGTTGGTGGGGACGGGGACAGGTGCCTGATGGTGGTCAGGTGGTCCTGGGCTTTGAGGATTGGACACAGCCCCTGAGCTGATGAAGAAGCGATTTCACACAGAGGCCTCTTTATGGTGCCGTCAGAAGGGAAGATGCCATGCTCGGCACACTCCGGAGCTGGAATGCTGTCAGGCCCAAAGGCCCAGACCCCGCTTTGGTTGCGTTTCACGCCGGGAGACATTTCTTCTTATGCGGCAGCAGCTCTTGGATGTGGCTTTTTTTTTTTTTTAAGATTTTATTTATTTGTCAGAGAGAGAGACAGCACAAGCAGGGGGAGCAGCGGAGGGAGAGGGAGAAGCAGGCCCCCCATTGAGCAGGGAGCCGGACGCGGGGCTCGATCCCAGAACCCTAGGATCATGACCTGATTGGAAGGCAGATGCGTAACCGACTGAGCCACCCAGGCGTCCCTTGGATATGGCTTTTAATTTGCTCATTGCTGCGTCATCGATTTCTCCCCCTGAGCAGTGGAGAGAATTGCCAAGTACTGGGACCGTCAATGGCTGTTGGGGGAACCAAGAAATTTGCCCCCCAGTCAGTCTTTCAAAAACCCTGATATCTTTTTATCAAACGTGAACATTTGATAGAGTCTCATTATTCCAGGTGCAACTGTATAGACAAGTCAGGTTTCTTAAAATCAAAGGAATGGTTTTCATTGGCATTATTGTATCACAGAGAAAGACTGTGAATCTTGGCCCTCATTAAAAAAAAAAACCAACTTGATGTGCACCTTCATTCAGCAGCGAGAGTGGCTCAGGTTGGAAAAGCAGACTTTTGTTCAGCCCATCTCTTTTGACAGCTGGCTAAAAAGACGTCCACTCAGTGGCCTTGGCTTGATTGCACTTATAATATTCTCAATTTCTCTTGGCACTGAATGAAGATCTGGAAACACATTGTTGTCTGCTAGCTGCTCACTGTGAGTAAGCTTTGACCACTGGCATCCCAAGCAAGTGCCTCCATCCACATAGCAGTGCCCTTCCTAGCAGCCCACACGGCAACGGAGAGTCGGTCCTGATCTCTGTGGCCCTTTCCGGTCTACGTCGTGGCTCACAAGTAATCATCAACTTAACCAAAGAACGTCCTCCTCTGCAGCACCAATGTTGAGTGATGGACAGGACCAAATACATCGTGGAGGACATTTCCTTCATATATGTACAGATCAGGCTGCGTCTGTTGGAAAAATTCCAACCACCAATGTTTTAGTAAATAAAGATGCATTCCTGAGACTATAGATCTGCTATAAGAAAAGCTTGAATGACAGAGATTTAAGTAAGATAGACGTTTACTTCTCTCGGATATAACAGTCTGAGCATGATGTGACCAGCGCTGATCGGTTGCAGGTTTTCATTGTATTACCTGCCTCCCTCAACTTGTAGCTGGCTCCACTGTCTGGTTTAAGATGGCCGTTCCCGCTCCTGCCATTGCAGCCACATTCCAGCCTGTGGGAAGGGCACAGAGACAAAGAAGAGGTATGCACTTTTCCTTGAGAGGGCATGAATAGGAAATTGCACTCCTTGTCTCTGCTCTCATTTCATTGGCTAGAATCCAGACATATGGCCACACCCATCTGCATAGTAAGCTGGGAAATGTAGTCTTTATCTGGGCAGCTATGTACTCAGCAAAAAAATTTTTTTTCTTTTCTTTCTTTCTTTTTTTTAGAGAGAGGGCACGTGGGAGTGCACATGTGAGCGGTGAGGGGGCGGGGGTGGGGGAGGGGCAGAGGCAGAGGGAGAGAATCTTAAGCAGGCTCCATGCCCATCGCAGAGCCCAGCATGGGGCTCGATCTCATGATCCTGAGATCGTGACCTGAGCCAAAATCAAGAGTCGGACACTCCACTGACCGAGCCACTCAGGTGCCCCCAGATTTCTATTTCTGCAGAAGAAAAAGAGAGTAGATATTAGGGGACAACTAGAAGTCTCTTCATTCATCCAATGAATGGTGTTGAGCCCCCACAGCAGTGATGGTTGAGCAGTGAACAAGAAAACGAACATCCTGGTTCTCATGGAGTTGACACTCGAATGGGAGGAGAGCACGAGGAGAGGGTTTCAAGGAGGAAGGAGCAGTCTGCTGTGTCCAATGTGGTTGTTTCCATCACCCGACAAGAAGCCTGGAGGCGGGACAAGATGACTACCACAGCAGGCTCCAGCGTTATGTCAGTGTTCCAGGCGGGGAGAAGGTGGAAGAAAGGCCCACCAGTTGTGTCTGACTTCTTTTAAAAGGAAAAAAAAAAAGCTTTCTTGGAAACCCACCAGCTGCTTTCTGCTTCAATCTCATTGGTCAGAACGAGGTTGCATGCCTACCCCTAGCTGCAAGGGAGGCTGGGAAATCAGGATCAGAATTCTCAGGATGGGCTGAGCGCTGGGCACATTGCCCATCAAATGCAGCCGGGTTCAGCTAAGAGCAGGAAGGAGGCTTGCTGCCACACCGTTCCGTGCGCGTGCCAAGGTCTGAGCTGCCCTGTGCACCAGTGGTTTTGTGCATCTGTACGGGGAGGTACCTGCCAGCGCATCTGTGGGATAACCACCCACCTTCTACATTGTTGGTCGCTGATTTTACGGACCGCCCCCACACTCCCAATAGTGTTATCGGATAAGAGAGAAAATAATTTTGCCAGCCGCTAAACCTGTCCGCTCTGACTTGTCACTCACCGTGTGGCTGGCTCTGTAACTGTCTCAACAATAGAATAGCTTCTACCTGGCTTCTCTACGAGGCAAGCACCTTTGAATAATGCCTCTGGGCTTCTGGTCCCTTCTCCGCCTTTAGGGATGGAAGTCATCAATTTTGTACTGGAAAGCTTTATTTTGTGCTTGTTCTAGAAACACTCCAGTGGTTTCCCAGAGCGATGGCTCGATTGTTTTGTTGGGGGGAAAGATGTGCAAACTTCAGAGGCTCCTCGCCGCCGCCAGACGAGCCGACATGAGAGACCCCACGCTGGTCGTAGGTATGACGTGACTTCGGTTTCAGCTATTTAGGTTGTCCTTTCTATTTTTACTTTTCCTCTTTCCCTGTGCAAAATCCTACCTCTCCAAACCAGCACATTCTACAGGCGCATCAAAATCCTCTTCACAGTGGATGTTTATGCCTTTTTCTGAAATGTAAATTTACATTAATATTCTCATCCCTACTTTAGTGGTTCAACAAGCCATTTTTGTCTTACCAATCCATTTTCGTTATTCAGGGCGATAACCTGACAGCAAATGCATTTAAGGGCTTCCTATGTGCCCGGCACCATTCTGAGTGCTTTATATACGTTGTGACAGTTTGAAAACATGGTCCCAATTTTGGGGGACACTTCTATTAAGAAGTGGCATCTATGTCCCTTCCCCTTTAATCTGTGCTGGCATTAGTGACTCACTTATCACCAGTGGAAAGGAGGGGAAGTGATGACTTGTGATTTCCAAGGCCAGGTACGAAAAGGCCGTGTAGCTTCTGCCTGGTTCTCCCGGGACGCTTGTTCTGGAAAAAGCCCGGCTCCCTGATCCTGCCATGATGGAGGTAAGCACTTTGGTCACCAGCTCCAGCAGAGCTAGCTGCCAACCTAGGGCACACACCAGGCGCCAGTTCTGTGAGTGAGCCATCTTGTACATGCTGCAAGCCCAGCTGGGCCATCAGACGATGGCAGCCCCAGAATGTATCTGACTGCACCCCCACAAGAACCCCAAGCGTGAGGTGCTCCGCTGAGCCCTTCCCGGATTCCTGACCCATAAAACTATGAGCAGAATCAAATGGTTGTGGGCTTTTTTCCCCATCACTAGAATTTTTAAGCCAGAACAGGAACCCAAGACATAGAACTAATTTAGTTCTCGAATTTTCAGATACAGACATTTAACCCCAGAGAGCTTAAGCAAGTTGCACACGTTTTCACGGCAGAGGGAAGAGATGTGTGCCGGCAGGCTGATTCTAATAGTCTGCCACTTGACAACAAGGGGGTGGGGAAGCAAAGTTAACAAACGAGTAGTAACGCACAAAATGCAAAAATGTGTGCCAGGCAGGCTGACAGCACCCTGTTGAGGGAAGGTTGGTCCCTTTGGACCCACCATCCCCGACTGATGTACTTTGGAAAACACATACCACTTTTAAGAACCCAGCGATTTCTACAAAAATCGCCATTAATTTTACATTTCAAATTTGCACAATGTAAGTGGATGAAATTCTTCCACCTGTTATTTTCTCCTCTAAAACTTCCACGCTGCCTGGGGGCGTCAGGGTTTTGAGACCGCATGAGGGAAACCCTGACCCCTCGCCTCTTGGCATCTCAGGTGTGGGAGCTGGGAAGCTTCCTGACAAAAAAATATTAAAGCCATAAAATGAAAGGACATCAAATTTAACTTTTGGAAGCACCTTGGCTTTCATCTCCTCCAACCTTCCACCCAGGGCAAGACAAGGACAAGCCACGTGAGAGCAAAGCAGCTGCTCGGTAGGATGGCCCCAGTGGTGCCCGTAGGTGGCTGGGGATGAATGGCCAAGGAACCGTAGAGAAAATATGGCTGTCAGATCGCAGGGTCCGGGTGGTCACCGAGGGCTGGGAACGGGGTCACCTTCATGGGCATGTGACCCGTGCTGTCACCCCTGCCTTGAAGGACCCCACACTTTAATGGCCTGCCTCACTATCTTGAAAGCCTTAATCATTTTTGAAAAAGGGGGCCCGCAAAGTATGTAGCTGGGCCAGGATGGAGAGGTCTGAGAGCTGGCGCAGGAATGAGCATTTCAGGGGAGCAGGGCAGGCAAAGCCTCGGAGCCAGGAAGCCCGGAATCAGCTCGAGAAGCGGTCACTTGCCCAAGACCACTTGTCAGGCAGTGATAGCACAAGAAACTGAACCCAGTCTTGTTGGATTTCACGGCACCTGGTCTGAAACACTTTGCTCTCCTGTCTCCTGGGACAGACCTCTCACCGGAGCTGCCTTCTCGACTATTCCTACAATCTCAGCCTTCTCTTCCAGGGAGCCTTCCTGGATTGCTCTGGCCTAGTCACACTTGCCATTCCCTCCTTCCTTCATACTTCCTACCTAGCTGAGCCATGGTCCTTGTGTCAGCCTGTGTCCTTTCCCTGCCCCTCCTGGCTAGAGTCTACTGTGGCTTCCAGGCTCCCAGGCCAGTCCGGACAGGGCCTCGCACCTGCAAGAAGAATTTTTGGGCTCCGGCTTCTTGCTGGAAACCTCACATGTAGATTCCATGGTGCAGTCTTTCTCACCTTCCCATCCCTAGGGCTGGGCTCCTGCCTCAGTTTTCCCGTCTAAAACGCCAAGGAACTGTGGGATAATGGGAGTCAGACAGGCCTGGTTCATATTTTGTCTTGCTACTCACTCTAAAGCAAGCAGCTCAGCTTCTGCAAGCCTCAGTTTCTCCATGTGTCAAATGGGAGTAAATCCAAGTGCTCAAGGTTGGCAACACCAGTCATGTGGATGTCACCTACCCCCTGATACACAGCAAGGGCAAGGGCATCACAGCTCTGTGCTCTTCTCCCGGTCCTGGGACCCATGATGTGAGAAAACATCAGATAAGCCCCAAGGGACAGGCTACAGAATACGTGACCGGTACCCTTCAAAACTGCCAAGGTCATGAAAAGCAAGAGAAGAAGTAGAACCCGTCGTAGAGCGGAGGAGACGAAGAGGACGGAATGAGTGAATGTGATGTGGTCTCCGGGACGGGATGCCGGAACAGAAAAAGGCCGTTAGTGGACAAACGGGCGAATCTAAGTGGAGTCTAGAGTTTAGTTAATAGCAATGTACCAATGCTAATTTCTTAGTTCTGACAAACATACCGTGGTTATGTAAGACGTCAACATCGCGAGAAGCTGGGCTAAGGGTACACGGCCAAACGCTCCTGCACTACCTTTGCCTTTTTTCTCGAAACCTAAAATTATTCCAAAATAAGATGTTGATTAAAAACCAAACAAAACCTGCACTGCTGTTATTGCTTTTGTCTGCCCAGGGTCCCTCCCCCGGTGACAAGAGTGGGGATACCTGACCCAGGCTGGGCCATTAATTTGCCCTCATCATCCTGGCCACAGTGATTGGTCCAGGGGGGTAAGCATGTGACCCAGGCTGGGCCAATCAGAGCCCTTCCCTAGAATTGTTCAGCTTGGAACGGGAGGAAAAGCTCTCTCAGTCTCCCCGTCAGTCTGGGAGGCTGTCAGCCCGGGGTTGTGGGTACTCCTGGTTCCATTGCAGAGGGACTGTGGCCCGAAAGAACTAAGCCCGGGAGAGAGAGACAGAGAGACAGAGAGAGAGAATGAATGCTGATGGCATTCAAGATGGCCTCCTTCTCCTTCCCAGTTTTCCTCAGGCACAGCGTTCCCAGCCTGCCCCGTTCTGGGAGCCAATATATCTTCTTTTGAGTTTAAGTCAATTCAAACTGGGCCTGAGTTGGGTTTCTGTCACTTGCAACCAATGAGCCCTGATTAATACCTTCCTCTCAAGTTGCTGTGAGGATTTGACGGGTTGTATATAACGGCACGAAGGGAGGCCCCCTATACATGGTGAAGGATGTTGGTATCTTCTCCAAGGAGTCTGGGACCTGCCCCGCTTGAACTCCAGCCTGCTTGGCTGTGGCCCTGACACCTGCCTCACTCCGCTCCTGGTTCGCACACAGCCCCCTGACTTCACAGGTCCTCCCACCTCCAGGTCCTGTGTGGGGACTCCTCCTCCTGGTGCTGGGAGCTGAGTGTGCTGCTCATTGGGCTCTGCTCTGGGAAAGGCACCAGAGGGGAGGGAGAGGGAACTGGGCCGCTGGCAGAAACTTTCCTCCGCAGAAGTAGGGGGGAAAGCCCCACATCGGTCTGGCCGGACCCAGTGAAACCAAGAGGTAGCTGGTGTTGGGAACGTGGACGCTTGTCTAGTGCTTGTTCTGAGGATAAAATGATGGAGCTGTGGGGACCTGGTTCCACGGGCTCCAAGCAAGAGGTGCCGGGACGGGGAGAGCAGGAGATTTGAGAGAAGCTTGAGGGAAACCACAGGCAGAACAATCAGAAGGATTTGCGCGCGTGAGCAAGGGCAGAAGTCGCTCTTTTATCTGAGGTCTGGGCTGTGGGCCAGGAAGGGAGAGACACCATCCGGGAAATCCAGGGGATGTAGACAGGGCATGCGGCCACCTTTCCTGGGCACCCGAGCTTGGGCTGGGAAGGACCTTGCAGAGCCTGAGGAGGGACGAGACAGGGTCCTGGGTTGCCTTCCTGGGTCTCAGTTGCCCCCTGCTGCTCTGGCCATGTCACGCGTCTGTGCCTCGTTCCTTCTGGGTGCGCTGCCTGCCTGCCCCTCCGCACCTGTCAGGCTGGCAGGGAGCTGGGGCATCTCTTCCTGTGCCCGCTCTCCTTCTGCCCAGGGCCCCCACCCACCCCTGGCCCCCAGGGCAGAGCTGAATTCACTCACCTTCCCATTCTCCCAGACATTTGCTTTCCTCCTCGGATGACTCTTCGTTCCTTCTTTCCTTCCTTCATTTGTTCCCTCAGGCACGAACTGGATCATTTTATTCCACAAACGTTTTGGGAGTGCTAACTGCATGATGGCTTCTGATCGAACAGAGGAGAAGAGGATGGACCCCGCCTTTGCTGGTATGGCAGAGACGGGGAGGGATGGGGCTGGGTTTAGGGTACACTTTGGAGGCAGAGCTCATAGGGGTCGTGGATGGCTCCGGTTTGTGGGGAGCCCCGGGCGCCATCAAGGTGGCACCGGGGTTGGGGTCTGAGTAACTTGGTAGCAGGCATACACCCTCCATTCCCCACAGAACCTCGGGAACACACAGCTACTCTCCTGCCCACAGGGACCTTCAGACACCCAGATTTTAGACCGAGAGCACATTGAGTATAAAGGCTGAGAATGGGACGACCAGCCTCAAATACCCCAAGCGTCCTGGGCTACAGCATGGCTCCCTCAGCAGGAAAACCTGGGTGGATCATGGCATTGCTCCTTCCCTCTGGGCAGCCTTGGTTAAATTGCTTAGCATCTCTGAGCTTCATCAGTGAAATGGGCATAAGAGCAGTAAGTACCTCCTAAGATAGCTGTCGTTGCTCGCTGAGACTTTAATTCATGGGAAACACTTGGCATCGAGCCTGAAAGAAATAGTAAACGCCCCAATTTTGAGCTATTATTATGATTCTGGGTAGAATGTGGCCAGGTTGCAGAAAACTCCAGATGCTAGAGTAAGGAGTGGCACTTTATCCCATGGAGTCAGAGCCGGGAAGTTTTTGAACAGAGAAAGAACAGGAGGAAACCAGCCAGTCAGCGTCTCCCCGGTCCCTGAAGCATCCTGAGTCTTGGGGCCGGCAGCAGGAAAACGGTGGCGAGCCAGGCCACGAGGCTGGTGGCCTCCAGCCTCCCAGGGGCCTCCGGCTGCCCCAGTTCTGGACCCAGGCAGTAGAATGGAGTCTACCCCCACCCCAGCATCCCTCTGGGCAGAGCCAGATAGATGGTTTAATAACGCAGGCTGCCTGGCTGACCTTGTGGCCGCTGAGCCAGCAGAGACTCACGCCACTCCCCTGCTCTGGCTGCAGGACCGAGGCCTGAGGTGCCCGGCAAGAGTCCCTGGACGGCAGAATTCTGAGTCCCCATGTAAGGGTGCTTAGACCCGAATGGCAGACACCTTGGCTGCGTGGGGCTCAGCAGCCTCTGGCTAGTGGGCAGCAAAAATCCGGTAGATGCACAGTGCCTGGACCCCCCCTTATCCCCTTCTGGATCTCCCTGGGGGGTGTCTCAGAAGTGACTCCTGGCTCTGAAGGCTGCGAGAGGTGGTCTGTCACATGCATGCAGACCCTACCTGTGTTGGAGCAGCCTCAGCCTCTCAGCCTGACCCTTGTGCCACTGGGTGGGGCCGCTCATGAGGGCCCTCCCACCCAGAGCACTCCCCTCTGTGCCTGGTGAGTGCCTGGGCACCTGGGGCACAGACCAAGTCGGACAAGGCCAGATCTGGGAGTTGCTCACCTTCCAGTGGAGACACTAGGTAGATCAATGGGGGTGGGGGTGGGGTGGGGATCTCATTCCTTTCCTGTCCCAGGGTACCCTCCAGGTCTGCTTTACTGAGACTGGTGGGGAGGCAGGCTGGCCAAGCTCACCACCCAGGAATCTCAGCTCCAAGCCAGGCAGGCAGGATGCCATCAGCACCCTTAATGAACTTCCCTGGGGGCCCTCCCATAACTCGATCTGTGGGTCAAAGGGTATCCCCGTGGACACTTCAAAATATCCCCTAGAGTGTGGCCTTGGCCTCTGAGCCTCACAGGCACCCTCTCCTGGGGGATGCACACCCAGCCAGCCTCTAGTGTAGCCTCATCAGGGACTTTATGTACATTCTTCCTGCCCCATTAGCCTTGAGCTGCCCTTGATTCGTGGATATGAGGACTAGAGACTCTCGGAATCATAGAATCCTATGGAATTAGGTTCTCCAGCTCCAGTATCTATACTCCTAATTCTGTTTTTGCCTCTGCTAGTCTGGATGCAGAACACAGAACTTTCTCAATTTCCCCCCAATATAATTGATTGACCTCAAGCCCATTGGCTCCCAAGATGGCTCCCGAGGATACCTTCCTCCCGGAATTCATATCCTGTGTCCTTCTCTTCGATGGTGAGGGGGGCGGACCTGTGTAACCAATAGGAAATTGCAAACATTGAGGACGTGTGACTTCGGAGGATAGGTCATACAAGACCCCGTGGCTTCCTCTTTGCTCTTGCTCTGGGGGAAGCAGCCGCCATGCTGGGAGGACGCTCATGCAATCCTGTTGAGAGGTCCATGGGGCACAAACCGAGGCCTCCTGCCCACTGCCTGGCACCAACCTCCTCAAGCCCCAGCCCAGCCTTCGGATGAGTGCGGCCCCAGCAGCAGCCTGACTCAATCTTAGGAGATTTCTCAAGCAAGAATCACCCACTCCCAAATTCCTGACTGCAGTAACAGCACAATAATAACTGTTTTTTTTTTTTAATTCTGATATAAGCCACTGAGTTCTGAGGTAATGTGTTAACACAGCCACAGATGGCTAATATGACAAGCATGTAGACTTTTCTATTTTTTTTTTGTCAGTAAATAGTGTCACACCTTTCATAATGCTAAAAGGAAACAGCCGATGACCTAGAAGTCGATAACCATCAAAAAATCTCTTTCACAGCCAAATACAATGAATTCAGATAAACAAGAGTACAGAGTTTGAAAATAGCAAACACTCACTAAAGTAAATTGCTGCAAAATATCCATGAGCAAAATAATTCTGGGTGAAAACGTGAGAGGAAAGAATTAATGCAATATGATTAATATGTAGGTGATTGTAAATTAATACTGACCATACAAAGAAGAGCATGTAGACATCTCTAGAGGAAGCAGGGCAGGGAAGGTGTTTGGGGAGGCTGAAGTGGGGAGGGGGGATTATATTGCACACTCCACGGCAAAATGACTTAAAAATCCTTTTTGGAAATGTGTGTGTTCTCCAAGATCCATTCATGACCAAGCCTCCTCTGGGGATTTTGCTGCATCCCTCCTCTCCTGACCAGCAATCTCCTCTCCCCCCACCACCCACTTTCTCTCAACCCCCAGCTCCGCATCCTCCCATCCTTATTAGGACTGGGAATTTGCCCCCTGCCTTCAACCTTGCATACCCTGACCTGTCACAGTGCCTAGCAAAACAAAACCCTCCCAAGGTAAAGGGCCTCCCTTCCCGAGAAGCTCAGTCTCCACGTCTTTATATTCCATCGGGATGGCTCCATGGTGGGCAAGGTGCAGAGATTTTAGGAAGGGGAGCTTCAGTTTTCCCTTCTGGGTCCTGTGTCTCATCACTAGGTCTTGTCTTAAGTGATTGTAGCCTTGCTTCCAGCATCGGAGACACAGCGGAAAATCTGCTTTTTGGTTTGGATCTCAAACAGGAATGTGATGCCTCATACATACTCTGCTATCTGTGTGTTTCACTAAAAGCATCGCTTAACCTAATT